AAAAAATTTAATAAAAAATTTGCATAACCTTATCATCTTTAAAGAAAAGTGAGAATGTAATAATATATTAGTGATGTTCTAAGTTAGTAATTTTCTAATAAAATTTCCTATCAATAATTGATTTGAAAGCAACAATTAATTATTTGAAATTTTAATTTTTTCAAAACAATTAACAGGCATTAGTAAATTCTTATTTTAGAATTTATTTCACTAAATATTTCCAACATTGTGATGGAGTAAGATAAAATTAGTGTTTTTTTTTATACTCCTTTTTTCTTGCAAAATTCCTTGAAAAATTTTATAGAATAATATTATATTATGGGTGTTTTTATTAAGAGCAACAACAATTTCAGTGGAATTATTAGGTTTGAAAACGCAATAGATTTTCAAATCAAAAATTTTTGCATAAATACAGTCACGGTTAGTTTTACAAATAGCATCACTTCCAATTCTACTAGTATCAGTTGGATTTTGTATTGTTAGTATTCATAAATCATATTACAATTTATATTGCTTTCTACGTTTTTTGAAAAACCTGGAGTCCATTTGGAAAATTAGTCTTGTGTACTTTTGTAACCAGGGCAAATTGTTCGATTCTATGAAAAATTTGAGCTTCAACATTTTACCGTAAGAGCTGAATCTTAAAACTCCGTCCTGAAATCAAAATTTCTATAATTTTAAAATTACCATGAAAATATTCTAAAAACTTTTGAAGAAAAATTTTTAAAACTTGTATTAAAACATACAAACGATCAGTTTTTCAAAATATAAAAAAATTTTCAAAATTTTTATAATTCTAAAGTATGTCAAAAATCGAATTTGCTCAATTTTGATATGCTCTTTTATTGAGAACCTTGCAATAATATTATATAACACTTGCAATAAATTTTGAAAATGTCAAAAGAAGAGCAACTATTTTTATAAATCTTATTAAAAAGCAATATGATTTAAAAGTTACATTATAAATCAGAAATGTGTTCTACTAAAAAAAAAAAAAAAAACAAATACGCAAAATATTCTCACGTTCATAACATAAATAAAAATTTTGACATTTAATGTGTAACAAATTTCAAAAAGTTTCTTTTTTTCTCTAAAAAAGCAAAAAAAAAAATGCTTTTTTTGGAAAACAAATGGTGTAAAAAATGAAAACTTAAAATATAATGCGAATCAAAGTTAAACACTTCCAAATAAACACATCACAAAATTTGTACAGGAAATAAGACGAGTAAATCTAAGAAAATGGGGAAAAAACGCTGAAATTACGAAAAAGAAAACAAAAAAAATTTGAGCATTTCGAATGATTTTACATTAAAAAATATTCGTTATCGACAGAGAAAACAAAAAAAAAAAAAAAGAAAACAAAAATACCAAATCAAATGCGCTGCTAATACAATTTTTCTTTTCTTTTTACTTTTTCCCTAAAATTTCCTCATTCTAAATTCTCATCCTGCCTGACATCAATATTCTTACACTGTTTACCATTTTACCATAAACAACTTAATCATTTGTTATAAAATGTATCCAAATGAAAACAGAAAATTTCTGATGTGATCAGCACATAATCGACTTTACTTTAATGTATTTTATGCATTATATTCTATTTAGTCTACCCCCAAAAACATTAATTGGGTTCATATACAAAATTCATTTTCTAAGGTTAATTGCACCGTCGATTAGTAAGCTATGTCACCGATAAACAGCAGCAAGTATTAGGAGCCTGAACTTGCATCTCGCTATTTTACTCGCCAAGTGAGAAGGAAGCGAGTAACTGTCATATATTTAAGTGAGAAGGAATTATTCCGTATTGCGTACCACATTTCTTTCTAAAGTGTATGCAAAATTTATCCATTTTGTTTTTGAATGCGAGACGTTTTTGAATGTGAAAAGTGAGTAATCTTATCGGAGAAATTAAGTACTCATTAGAAAAACGGGGAATTCTGAGTTGAAAGTGAATAAAAAGTGAAATAAAAAAGCGAGATACATGATTGGGGCTTTAAATTACAATAAAATTTGTTGATTATTTTTTAACAATCCGACTTGCTCCAAAACTTCAAAAATTTGCCATATCACAAAAATAAACTCGAAAATATAAATTTGTAATCGGTTCAATCGATTCTGGCATTGCGCTAAAAATAGTTTTTTTGCACTACTCAGAAATTTAAGAAAATGTACTTCTCCCAAAAATTCGCTTAACGAAATTATGTATGAAAACAATACGACTCTTATTATAATATATGTCATATGGTTGGTGAAAATATAACAATCAGGATACTATTTGAGATCTCTATCTTCATCTTAATGTAGATTAATACCATAATATAAAAGTATCGATATAGATTCTTACATATTATACATGCAAAATTGCTTATGCATATTATAACAGAAATTGTGGTTGAATGATATAGCCCTTATATAATTATTATACAGTTGAATATAACATTATAGCGGTATCTGTTTAGAACAAAAAATTGTAGAATTTTTTCTCTCTTTTTTGTATTTAAGAATTCTAAAAGCAATTTTAATAGAATTTTCATTATTCTTGAGTGTTGTTTTGTATGTATGTTTGCATGTCAAATTTTCATCATCATCATCATCACCATAATCATCGTCATCGTTGTCATCTAAAAAACAAAACAAAGTACAAATAAATCTGATATTCATTTAATTTTTTGACGTTCTCATTCTTATTCTTATGAAGTACATACAAAATACATAACATAATACATTAACATACCTACATATGTATATATCTAAGTAAATATATGACTAAAAATATTTTACAGATACAAAGGAAGAACTATGAAAGAAAAAGTTGACATATTAATGGAGACAAAAGTAAAGCTGGCAGCCAAAATGGCAAACATATAGAATGGAATTATTAAATGAAAATTTGTTTGTTTATATTTGTATATATGTATGTATGTATTTTTATATATATTATAATGAATCGCGTGAAATCGAAATTTCTTTTAATTGCGTTGGCACTCATTACTCTAAAGGTGGAATAATTCACATTTCAATCAAATGAAGTATTTGGAATCTATATGAGTTATTTAAAGAAAAGGGTAACTTGTCTGATCTGAGTTTTTTAACACTGTTTTAGGTTTTCAGACCGTAAGATTGTATGTCAATTATTTTATTTTTTTTAATAAATAAATTCTTTGAATGAATTGCCAATTTGAAAAATCAAAACCCAACAGGTTCATTGTGGACAAGTTAACCAAATATTCTTTCATATATTCCAGAACGGATTAATATAACTGTTAGTATATATACATTTATTAAGCATGAAATAAAGAAAATTTCGAGTATCAGAAGAAAAGAGAAGTTAAATTAAGCGAACGTTCGTTGCGCCTAGTTCATACATACATATAATATTTCCAAAGTTTTTTATTTTCATTTTCATTTTCCTTAAAAAAATTAGAATTTTTAAAAATTTCTGATTTTAATTGGCAAAATTTAACACTTTGTTTCAACAAATATGAAAACTGTTATACACTAAAAAGCAATTGTATAACACAATTTGAAAAATAGTACAAATAAAGTGTAAAAACACAGAAAAAAAAACGCAGTTAAGAAGAAAAAAAAAGTAAGTTGTTGAAAAGTTTGAAGATAAAACAAAGAACGAAGAAGAAAATAACATAATAACAGTTAAAAAAGAAAAACCGTTTTGTCAAATATGATTTTCAAATCGATTTGAAATGAAAATGTCATCAATTTATTTTAACTTTTCTTAATAAATTGGATCAATTTTTATTTATACACATTAATAATATGTACACAAACATGTATGTATATGAAAGTATAATGCAATATAAATATATATGTAATAATGTCTGTATAATATTGAATTTGGCACTGAAATTGCAAAAATTGAGAAAATAAATGAATAAAATATATTTTGGTATTTTTTTATTCTAAAATGGTGAATTTTCAAATTCTCATCAATATCATTGACAAGAAATTACAATTTATATGAAATGAAAATGAATAAAATCTAATAAAATAAGTTTTTAGAAATTATTGTCAAGTAATGTTTCAACATCAATCATGTCCTTTTAATGATATTATAATACGAATGTTAATAGCTGCTTACTGTTCACATAATATTTTGGCACAGCTATATAAGATAATTCAAATAATTAAAAGTAAAGTTAAAGAGATATTTAAATCTGAGCGAAATTTGTAACCGCGGGTTTAGCTTCTAAATTAGCAACATTCGAAATTAAATTCTAAAACTTTATTGCTGACGGATTCTTGTCTCAATATGTCTTAATTCGCATTGTAATTGAACGGTGTCATATGGTGTAATTGACAAAAACATAATTGACAAATTTTGTTAGTATTGCAAAATCCCGTTCCAAAATGAGTTTTAAATTGTGCATTTAAAATGAAAAAGTCAATCATTTAAAACCCAGAATTGCCTATTGGAAAATCTAATTAATACAAAAAATACTAAAAAATTTATGACATTTTGCAGAATTATGTCTGATAACACAAAAGATCAATAGAATTCTTGACTTAAAAAATAACAACTGTTTCCACATTTTATTTGATTTCGAAAAAATTTTTGTCCTTTACTCATTAATAATGTTTTTTGAATGACGGATATGAATGAAGTTTCTATAATTACAACAATAATCTCAAGATTTTCATATTCTCATTACCCCTAAGTTTTTTTCTAAATATTGGAAATTAATCCACTCATTTGTAAGTAAACTACAATTACATAAAGAGCATATTCCTCAAAAAAATATCAAATTTGAGGCAAAATATTAAGCTTCCAAAAAACTTAATCAATTATTCAAATAATTATACTTTAAGCGAAAATTTTATCGAATTTTTCTAGTAACAAGGGACGTCATGCAAGTTTTATAGAACAAAATTACAAAGTAAATGCATAAGCAAAGTGATCATAGCGAAATACTTTTAAGCATAAATTTTAGTTGAGCAGAACTGCTGGCTACAGTTGATAAACGTAATAATGAACTGTAAAATTATTTATTTTTTTTATTACTTATTGAAATTTAATTACAAAATTATTTTATTCATTCAACTTAACTTTTCTTTTTATAAACCTGTTTAACTTAAATTTATTTTTAATTTTATTATTTATCGTATAAAATTATTTGTTATTATTATTAGATAAGAGTTATAAGAGAACTTAAAGTAAATATTCAACTTAAATCAATTTGTCTTGCATATTTTTGTTGTTGTAGCGTCATGATTACGATGGGAAGAATAAATTTATCGAATGTAACACTTGTTTGCATTTTAAATTATTCAGATAAGAAAAATCAGACTTGCAATAACGCAACGAATGCGACACATTTACATATTATTTTTATTGGCACGTCATTATAGCTTTTTTAATAATATCAGTCATTTCATATACATCATTTTTAGTAATGACAAGTGGTGGTGCCAATCTAATAATTGTATCGTGTGTTGGTTTAGCTAAAAGACCTAAATCTTTCATTTTTAAGCATACATCATATGCTTTAAATTTCGGATCTATATCAATTGCATTTAGTAATCCTTTTCCACGTACATCTTTAACAATTTCCTTTGGTAACTTACTTAATTCACTTCTAAATAAGATACCCATTTCTTCAGCATTTTCAGCTAATCTTTCATCAATTAAAACTTCCATTGCAGTCATTGCTACCTTACAGGCTAACGGATTTCCACCATATGTTGAACCATGTTCACCTGGACGAATTGTTAACATAATATCATCATTTGCTAATACAGCAGATACTGGATACATTCCACCAGATAAAGCTTTACCCAAAATTAATATATCTGGTTTGACATTTTCATGTTCAACAGCTAACATACGACCTGTTCTACATAAACCAGTTTGAACTTCATCAGCTATCCAAAGAACATTATTTTTTGTACATATTTCACGAACTTTCTTTAAATATCCCGGTGACGGAACAATAACACCGGCTTCACCTTGTATTGGTTCTACCATAAAAGCTGCCACTTTTGGATTGTTATTGAGAATTTTTTCTAATGCATCAGTATCATTATATGGTATTATTTCAAAGCCAGGCATAAATGGTCCAAAATCTTTATAACTGCTGGGATCTGTTGATGCAGAAATAGCTGATAATGATCTTCCCCAAAAGTTTCCAGCTGCGAAAATAATTTGTGCTTGATTTTCTGGTATTCCTTTTTTGTGATAACCCCAACGGCGTGCTAATTTGCAGGCGGTTTCACATGCTTCAACACCAGTATTCATAGGTAATAGCTTTTCGTAACCAAATAATTTTGTCATATATTCTTCATATTTACCAAGTTGATCAGAATAAAATGCTCTTGAAGTTAAAGCTAATACTTGACATTGATCAATTAAAGATCTAACAATTCTAGGATGACAATGCCCTTGGTTAACAGCTGAATATGCACTTAAGCAATCAAAATAACGTTTTCCTTCAACATCCCAAACATGTGCACCTCTACCCCGCTCTAATGCAACTGGAATCGGATGATAATTATGTGCTCCATATTTATCTTCTAAATCTTGTACTTCTTTTGTTGTTAAAGTTCTAATAATTTTATTAGAGTGTCTCAAACAGTTTGAAACCGAATTTGGAATTACTGCTTTTAAACTAAACATTATTTTATAATGAAAAAAACAATTATTTTTATTTTAAAAATATTAGTAATTTTATAATAGAGAAATGAAACCTAATTAAGATTTATAGGTTTAAACCATACGACGACGGTAGTATGACTGAATTTTGTAATTGATCAAAAGCGTTAAACGAAACGACACTAATGTATTGAGAAAGATTTTTCATGTGCTGTTTTTTTTATTCTCTACTATTTTATATACAAATTTTTTTTTTGTGTTAAATGATGACCTTGTAAACTCTTATCATTCTTGAAGCATAATTCTAAAATTTTCCAATACTCAAATAAAAAATTGAAAAAAATAAAATGTTTTATTAACATTTGGACTATTTAGAGAGGCATTATATTTATTAAAAATCAGCCGTAATCAAAATTTCAAAAAAAATTCTCAATTTCTCCATCTTGGGAGAGTATTGTTGAACTATATAAAGAGCGATATTGATTTGTGTATGTAGTTTAGAACTTAGAATATAACTAAGACGTTAAACACGTTTTTATGGTTTACAATATAACCTCTATTAAATGTTTTTATCAAACACGATTTTGTATACTCATTTGCATTTCTATTAATTGCTCACTTTTAAAAGTATTCATCATCCTATGCAATACAAAGTAAGACTTGATAGCCATACAACAAATTTCAAAACTGAGTTATTGAAAATCTTCCGGCATTTAAAAATTGAGTTTTTTAAATACTTGACATAAACAATCGTGTTAACCCTTTGAATACCGATGTAACGTATACGTCTCACTAATGTACATATTTTCTCTGGGCATTCTTTTCGACCTTTATTTTAGTGCAATCTCTTTCCTTGTCTTCTTTCTCAGAAAGCTATAAGTTACGAGTATATCAAAAATTTTTTTGAACGTTTGCGAATCGTCCGTTAGTGTTGAAATAAGTATTTATTACAAAATGGACACACATACATATGTATATATACATATGAAACCGAAAAGACAAGATGTAAACATCAATTTGTTCGTATTGCTGAGATTTTCTATGTCAAAATAGATTTTGATATTGTAGCGTTATTTGTATTCCTTTTTAGCACTTTTCCAAAATTTTTTTGGAAAAAAGTGCTTAGTAGTTTCACTCTGTCCGTCCGTCCGTCTGTAGATGAAAATAATTTTAATAGTATGGTGGATATGCATAGATCGTATTTAAAAGCAGTATTTTCACTTGTTGAAGGGAAAAGTGCTACAATACAAACCATTGGTTTGACCCAACTTTATTGTTATCATTAACAGTGAAGGATTAATAATCAGCACTTGGAAACATTTACAATATTTAAATTAATTTGTTTTGACATTTGCCGTATAATAAACTAAAAGTAATATTTACGAGTAGCGGGGTGTCACCGACTTAAATATGTCGTTAACGTAACTAGTATTACTGCACTGTGTGATAAGAAAATGTTTTATTTATTTTATTTTTGCACTCTTACGAGTATTTTCTCATTAAAAAAGCACAGAAAAAATATTTATTTTAATTGTGTTGATATGACGTGCTCTTGAAATTTTTCAATAAAATGACCACTTTCTCTCTCTCTCTCTCTTTCTCTCTTTGCGTTCTTGCGTTAAATAATAAAAACAAAATTTTTTGGAGTGGGATCAACTTTATCTTCCACATAAAAATCTTATCGCTTAGATGAGATATTTGTTTGTAAGAATGTGTAAAAGAATAAACAAAATAAAAAATTTATTTTTATTTATTAGCAGTCTATTTATAAATTAATTTTTCCATGCACGCGATTAGTTGTCCAGTTCATATATTGTTCTTTAAGTTTAGAAAATGGAATCATAGATCGTGCCAATAGAAATAAGATCTGGTTATCTATATGAAATAGGTTATATTTTTTGAATTCACACTTCATAAATATTTTATTTGCTGCTTCTACAAGAATTTGCGTATGTTATTAATTAAAGGATTTGTGGGAAATTTAAATATGTTATACCTACAGATCAGTACAAACGAATATTGTTAGATATCTATTGTCATAGTGAAATAGCAAAATCTAAACTCATTATTCATTATTCATAATTAGTCTAAGCTCATCCATATATGAACGTATATTTTTCAAAGGAAATTCAATTCACCAAATTTGCAAATAGAAGAATGCTACTACTGAGGGATTATTCAAAATTATTTAAAATTATTCAAACCTTTTTATTATTTGTAATAGCAGTAACAGTTGACCACTTACGCATTATTATAAGATCGCGTAAGTGATTGAAAATGAATTCTACGAGACCTAATCTAAACATTATGTTCATTTTTGCATACGGGGCTTATGAGTTCATCTGAATGTCAATCTATTTCTTAAAAAGTCAACAACAAATTCAGACATTCTTCCTGAAGAACACATTAGGCTTCGCTCTAATTTGAAATTTCAATTTAAAGTAATGGACAGAAACTATAAAGTTGATATTGTAGTTGACTTAAATAAATTAAATCATCACGAGGCATTTTTAATACATAAGTGCCAATATAAAAGCAACCTAAATTATAAACATATAAATGCATGTACGCATTAAACAGCAAACAGCACAATAACGTTATTTTATTGGTAGGTAGATTATGAAATAAATTCAAAATTTTAATTTAATCAATAAGTTAGTTTACACAGGATTGATTATCTTATAACTTTCTTTATGGAATGTCAAAAGGTCAATCAAGTTGTTTATAGTGATTACATTTTGTTAGCGTTAATCAAGCTGTTATGTTTGAATTTATGCGTCAATTCTTCTATATTATTATATTCTATATTTCTATTTCTTCAAACATTAGGCGCACAAATATTTTCAGAAATAGGTCAAATTTCTATATGTGATATGAGAGGGTTAATAGCCTTTCAGTATTAATCTAATTATAAAACCGGTTATAACCAGCTGATTTGACAGAGAGAGAGCGAGAGAAAAGAGAATATGCAACAACAATTTTGGTTGAAAACAAATTAAAATTATTGTTGCCAGGTTCTAAAAAATTTTCAAGGTTTTAATTTTGTTTTGTGTAAGAAATAACTTTCAATATTAATATTTATGATACTGATAACAGACATAAGAAAAAAATATACCCCCTAATTAGTTAGATTATGGAATATTTTCAACTAAATTATTGGGAGATTAAGATAAATAAATCAATATAATTTGCAAATAACAGAAATTTTAGATTTTATTTATTTAAAAAAATTGATATTTTTGTAATAAACAACATAAAATTGATAATAAAAATTAAGTTCACGGTCAATTTTTGGAAATTCCTTATTGTTGTATTAAAAATTGAGTAAAGAGAAAGTAAATTAAGTATTTTTGAAACAAGCTTTTGATATCATATCATAAAAAATGCAATATTGTTAATATTTGTTTTTGATAACTACTTTATCAGACATTTTATAGTAATTGTAAGAGTTGATTTTTCATGAAAAAATTATTTTTTTGTTAAAGTTTCGGAAAAAAGCTAGAATTATCAAAGTTTGCTATTTATGTTATTCCAAATTTTGAACAAACCAAATGTTTTGAAAATTTTTTATTTGGTCCGGAAAATTTTTATCTGTTAATAATTAATTTATTTAAGATTATTAATTCAAAACTGCCATTGGCAAAATGCGACTCATTCAACTTCAAAATGCGGGCTATCATTGCGCCTGCGATAAAAAATAAATTTTCGATCGTTCCATTTTTCCAGTTTTTTCGTAACATATTAAAAAGTAGAATTTTAAAATGGAAATCGTACTGGAATTCATTTTTATTTCTTTAACAAATTTTCCAATAACCAGACTACAAATCTACAGATACTGAACATATTTTCCAAGTTCATTTATCCTCTTCTACTATCAAAACATACATATTATTTCAATTCAAATATATTTTTCGTTTTTAACTCTTAACATTGATAGAGGAATTAAGAAGAATTGTCCTATCTTATACAAACTACTGCGTTCTCTTATATTATGTCTATATAAATTTTATTTATAAATCTAATTTCTAATATTTCTCATAATTTTTTCTTAAGTATCACTTATTAAATTCATTCTGGATCTTTAATATTATATACATTATTATTATAGTCTGTGTTAAAATATATAGCTACACCCATTATACCCGAGCTATAATATTTTAAGCAATGTATGTATGTGTGTATGAGCTAAATTGTAATTTCTAATAAAGGGTAGCATATTTTCCTTTCATTTTAATATTATTCTGACTTTATGAAATATATTATAGCAAAAATGAAATCATGATCCCATAGATAATTTCTATACTAACTTGACTACCTATACACCACCTACACATTACACCCATACTTATATAATGCGTATAATAATATATTAATAACCTTTATTGTTAAATATTTTATTTATTTATTGTCTAGTATACCTAAATTTTATATATGAGTTTGTGTATATGTTTATAGAGGAGATGACCCAAAATTATATTTTATAGATTTTTGACTTTTTTTTTTCCCAAAAACTTTTATGAGGACAAAATTTTGGTTTTTCTTTTATTTGTGTATAGCCCCATCATCTTTTACACTTTGTTTATTTTGTTTTGAAAAAAAAAAAAACAAATAAATAGTAGAAAAATTTTGAAAATGCGTAATATGCCATAAATATTAAGTCAAAAAGTGATTATAACGCCCCATTAAATTTTAGATAAATAAAGATTTGAAAATATCCCGACAAGAACACCTAAAAAAAAAAAATGATAATAAAGTAAGAGAGAAATGAAAATTTCATCTTAAAAAAGTAAATAAAGGATTTTCTCTTTTTGTTCATTCAACAAACACAACTACATACATACACAAACATTTACATACATTTTGGTATTAGAGTATGAGAGCTTCATGTCTTATAGTCGTTATATAATTTTGTCTATATATGTATTTACATTTTACCGCATATAAATAGCCTTGTATATCCTGTTTTGTTACTTTTATTAAATTCAATTAAATTGATATTAATGCTAAATTGCTAACTCAGACATTTTATTCTGGTTCATTTTCTTATATACGCATATAACCAGTTAACTTGAATAGATATTCA